TTGAATATTCTTTTTAGCTTAATATAAGTTTTTTTAAGAGATAATATCTTTAATCTTAACTTTATTTTTTCTTCTTTTGATATTATACTCCGTCGATGGCTACTCACAGTTAATTCGTGGTTTTATCGTAGTGTTGTCGTAGTTTTATCGTGGTTTTATCTCAGTAGAAATTTTTCTATATAATCTATATGCATCGTGATTGAATCGCAGTTTAGTCGTAGCAGTGTTGCAGGCCCGAAGGGTGATCCAAGGATCATGTGGACCAATGAACATCTACGCTTATTAATCGACGAGAGAAAAACTAGGAACGTCGAATATTACGATATCATGGGTATTAGTAGAGAGGATTTTTGGAATAGCGTCGCAAATAAGATCAACAGGCAGTTTAATACCACTTACACCGGATACCAATGCAAAGGAAAGTTCCAAAGTCTCGTAAAAGACTATAATGTAAGTATTTTGGGGAGGTGGACAACTTATTCTACAATTATATTTCCAACTATCTCTTATGATGGGGTTATTACTAGTCGATATGCCAGCATATGGCGGGTAGTAGTTCTGGTAAGAGAGCAAAACAAGCAAACGATACTTTGAGGAATTTCGTACTCGCTTTTGGGAGAGACCTGGTAGGGATATAAACTATTAATAGTGATTGGTATTATAAATTGTAGCGTTAACATAAACAATACTAGAAATGCATTTTGATCAAATACGTAACGTAAATACATCCTCAAGAAGAAGAGAAGAAAGACGGCGAAACCGCACTCCACCACCAACCTACGAAGAAGTTTCATCAATGCTAAATATGAGTCGCCGTGAATCTCCTGCTGGTCAAAGGGATCGATCCGCATCTCCAACCCGAAGAATTCCCAGCAGAAGAGACGAAACTACCAATCGAGATAATGCAAGTAATTTGGGTGGACATTTAGGTAATAACACAAATAATGTGGGTGGAAATTCAAGAAATAACACAAATGACGCGGGTGGGAATTCAAGCCATAACACAAATAGCGTGGATGAAAATTCAAATAATAATATGACCCATAATGATACGCACGGATTATTATCTAATATATCCGCATCACAAAATGATAGTGATATTAGTATGGCCGATGTAGAAGGTAGTCAACCATTGGAACCTATAAATGAGGAGGGGAGTTAGATTTCGTCTGAAAAAGTAATAAATTTTACCCGAATGATTGGTTATTTTAGAGTTCTTGCCACTTTCAAAATTTTTAATTTATTAAATTTTTGTCGATCACTTTTGCCAAGAAAAAAATAAAATTTGCGGGACATAACGATAATGTCTCGATATGTCTAGTAATAAAACCACATATCTGTGTAATACAGTTATTCGATCAGCATATCACATACTATACCACAGAATAAATTAGAAGGTCATGGAACTTTTCATGCATGATGTAATCGTGTAACCTGCTGATTGTTACTATAAATTCTAAATCTGATTGATTAACTAGTGGCATATGCATTTTCTTTGTGTTTAAATGTTCATGTCACTATAAATTCTAGATTGACTAACTTGTTTATGCGTGTCTTTGTGTTTAAATGTTTATGTTACACATTATCTTTGCACTTGGTACGTGAGAAGAAAATTTTTTCACAATGAATATAAAATGTCTGATGACCATCTTGTATTTTATTCATCTATTGCCCAACATTTTAGAAAATTAGTTTCCTAATGAGTACTTCTAAATCGGCGGGTAAAAGACGAGATGATGAACCGTACGGGACATCCTCTAAAACAAAGAGTAAGGCAGAATTAAAAAGGGAGGAGGAGTCATTCTCGAAGTACGTTAAAGAACAGCAAAAAGCTTTAAAGAACAAAGGGAAGAATGGTGACTTTTCCACTTTCTCCAGTGGAAAATGGCCCATTGAACGCCTAAGTAATGACGGAAAAAGCATCAAACCAATAAAACCACAAGGCAGAGTTGTGTACGGTACGCCACCACCCAGTTTTAAGAGTCGAACTGAGACTGAGCCAACAAATATACTATTCGTTGCTGATCAAGTGCGTGATAACCCTAATCCACTTACGGCGCCACAAAGAAAATCTCGTTTCCCTCTTAAAGTTGATTCTGCGAGTTTCGGGATTAGTCTAGCTGGTCCGAATGCTTCGGTTACAATTAAGAAAAAATAGAAGTGGATTTTTCAATGACTTTTATTTCCTTAATCTCTTCACCAAGAATACGATTCTTTCCTGAGTCTGTTTTAACCTCATATAATTACGCTGTTTACACTTTCCAAAATGTCGTTTTTAACAAAATGTGTAAATTTTTTTTATCTTAGTCATCATTTTATCATGCATTAGTTATAGCTATGGTTATAGTGTTTAATGAAAGTTCGCTGGACTTTTTATTTTTCGATTGTATGAGGTGTAATAAATGTTTCAAAAAAAAATATATAGAAACTTGTTACTTTTACTAACTTATCTTTACTATACTTTATATATGCAAAACAATTTATATATCTATTTATTATGTATCTTTAGACACTAGCTTCGCTTATTTATATATCCATTTATTTAACTTATAACTTATTTATTTGATTGCAATATAAATTATCATTTTTGCTTGATTTTTATTCGCTGTTTTTTTGTATGTTAATTGAATATATCCGTATATATAAAAAAAATGGCAAATACACAATCTAAAAACAATTCATTAGAAGAACAAAATTCCAAGCTTGTAGCTGAGATTACTGAACTTAGAAAAAAATATTCTGAGATCGAGGCTGAAAATATCGAATTAAAACAAACTTTGAAAGATTATGAAGCTAGGTTCGCTAATCTAGAGCATAAAGATGAAGAAAAGACTATTCATATTGCAAAGTTAGACGATGAAATTAAGGAAATTAAACAATCTTCAGCTAATACAGCCCCTACGATGATGATACAGAAGAAAATAATCAATCTTCGGTGAATAAAACCCCTTGTGAAACGAATTTTGATATATGCCAAGAAAAGAATAACCAATGCATCACATCATTAGAGGGCAGAGAGATTGCTGAATTCCTGGACGAGGTACATAAGAAAAGAGTTAGCGATTCGTTCAGGCAGAGAAAGCATGAGGAGAAGCTTAAACGTGAATCAGTTATCCAGGATGTCTCTTCTGACTTATCGTATAACAAAGAAACCGTTAACACTGTTAACGATCAAGTTCCGAAATTATCACATGATACAGAAACCGTTAACGATCAAGACTTGAGATTACCACGTGGGCAAGAATATTATAGATGAGCAAATCCAGAAAGGTATTACAGATTCCACTATAGATTCAAACTTATCGCATGACACGAAAACCATTAACAATATTAACGATGATTCAAAATTATTACATAGCACAGAAACCGTTAATAATATCTTGCAGGAGCAAAAAGCATTACAAATTCTATCGAAGATTTAACCTTAGTAAGTGACTTCGTACAAGGTTTATTACAAGAATTTACCTCACATAATAATCAATGTTGGGTATCTGTAGAGATGCCCAATCCCACATCCGTATCAGAAAGTCTTCAGAAGCTTGCACATTATTTCATAAAGCAAGTATCGCAAGAAAAAATTCGATCAATACAAAAAGAGAAGAGATTTTATCCTGGGGTCGCTACTCTGAAAGATATGAAGATAAGATCATAGAACTTAGATCTGAGAATAAAGATCTTACGGATAAAACAGGATTTATAATGAAATGAAGCCATATCTTTCAGGCATTTCTGATGGGTATTTACGTGTAATGACTCGTAAAGCAAGAAAAATCAATAAGTTATTTGGATATGAATATGATCCTGTAACTTTGAAAAGATTAATGGAATAGGATGGCATATGGTTAATCGGATCACTTGTAGTGCTGATAGTATTTCAAGGCTCACTAATCCTCAAATTCAATATATTATAGATTATGTGAATTCAAAAACTGTTAACAATGTTAACGATCAGGAGTCGAAATCAATAGAAATTGAGATAAGTACTCCGATTATAAACTTTACCGATTCAAAAGATAAAGTAGATGCATTACCTACACCTCAACTCATGAAGATCTTACCCGAGAAACAGAATAGTCCAACTTATGACTGTGCTTATTTTTGTAATAAAATATTGTGGTGATATTCTGATCTATATAAAATATTTAATAACAAAAAATTTGACTATTATGAAATTATTGAGAGATCATTATGTTCAATATGTAAACTAGATCATGAGAATGAGAAAGTATAAAAGGTAAATATGAAACTGAATCATATTTTATTATATGTGGAAAGTGTGAAATCAAAATAACAGTATAAGTCACACTAGCTCTACTAATAAAGATAATTAATTCTGTCAATTTGTTTCTCTCATTATCAATAAGGAAAAAGTAGATAATTACACAAGTCAGTAAGTGAACAGTGATATTTTTTTCATGCTATTTAAATTGACTTGTATTCTTATAAAATGATAATATATCTTCTAATACTATTTTATAACAAGATTATTTATCTAACCATTCTATAACTATCACTAACAAGATATTAACTGATGACTACTATAAATAGTATGTCAAATTGGATGATTTATCAACTTCTTTGACTGATAAAATTTATTTAATCTTATATAGAATATATATGAAAGAAATTGGACTTGATCTCTGGATAAACTCTAAAACTTCTAAATCTAAACAAATTAAAGAGAATACTAATAATTAACTTTCACAAGACTATATCATTAAAATTTTCAAGTTTCTGAAAGCAATTTATAAAGCAGTATATAAATACTTCTTTTTTCTATCTTATATTAATATGAATGTATAGTATTAAGATATATTTAAATATTATTATAATATAAATTTTTTATATATAATTTATCAATATTAGTTATTTTATACTCATATTTAGTTATATTTTATTAGATAATAATTAAGATAATATTATTGATAAATATTTTTAGATAGTTTTATAAGTATAATAAAATTATTATAACAAAACTATTATGACAAAACTGATATGATGATACTAATAAAAGTAATATTTAAATTATAATAAAAGTATTATTTATAAAATCTCTAAAATATATAAAAGTAATATATCTTAATATAATATAAAAAAAGAGAGAAATTAATTAATAAATAAACTAACAAATTAAATAATAATAAGATAAAATAATAATTTAAATATAATAATATTTCTTTGACTTCAGTTCTTGATTTATCATTTGAATTTTTTAATAATGATAAATAATTATTAGTATAATAAGAATTTTTCTAATTAGATATATATTTTTATTATTATCAGATAATCCAAGTTTCTTTGCTGTTGAATTATCTTTATGTTTTGTATCAATAAGTAATTTTTCATCTTTGGAATTTATTTTTCATTTCTTATTAATCTGATATTTTTCTCTTTTAGCAAACTAGTTTTTAATTATCAAAAATATTGAAATCATGATTGATACTCTGACTAATATTATTACTTTATAAAAAATATTTAGTAATTTTATATCTTTTTATTAACAAATTTCTTCAACTTCAGCTCTTGATTTATTATTTAAATTTTCTGATAGTAGTGAGAAATTATTAATATGATAAGAACTTTTCTGACCAGGATATATATTTTTATCTCTATCAGATAATCTAAGCTTTCTTTACTATTAGATTAATTTTATATTTTGTATTAATGAGTAATTTTTTGTCTTTGAAATTTATTTTTTTTATGTCTTATTAAACTGATATTTTCTCTTTTAGCAAGCAAGTCTTTAACTATTAAAGATATCAAAATAATAATAATTATAATTAATAATCTGATTAATATTATTACTTGATGATTTTATATCTTTTTATTAATAAGTTTCTTTAACTTCAGTTCTTGATTTATCATTTGAATTTCTGATAGTAATGAATAATTATCAGTATAATAAGAACTTTTCTAATTAGATATATATTTTCATCTCTACCAGATAATTCAAGCTTTTTTTATTATTGAATTATCTTTATATTTTGTATTAGTAAGTAATTTTTTCACTTTTAAAATTTCTTTTAAGCACTTTGATCAATTCAAAATCAAAGTCTAACTATTTTCTTTAGATAATAATAATTGTAATTAGCTCAAGTTTGAGAAAGTAAACAAGAGTAAGTAAGTGAACAAGCAAGAAAGTGAGAGTGAACAAGTTAATAGCAATCAAATAGATAATCTTATAAGTAATTAAACAAGCAATCAAGAAAATAATTAAATAGGAAAGAATAAGTAAGCTTTAACTATCAATAAGATAAAGTAAGAATTTAATAAGTCTTATTTTATTTAAATATTCTTAATATTTAAATTATTCTTGAATTATATTATAAATAAAAAAATAAAATATAAGTTTATTTTTAATGTATAAATTATTCTTGAATTAATTATAATAAAAAAATAAAATGCAAATTTATTTTTAAAGTTCAAATTATTCTTGAATTATATTATAAATAAAAAATAAAGTATTAAGTTTATTATTCTCAAAAATAAATAATAAATGCATGATATTTTTATTCTAATCTTAAAGATATCAGAAGCAGACTTCAGAAATTCCAAAAAGATAGAATGTGATTAGAAGTCATATGATCTATTATTTTTTTCTATTTCACTTTGTTACTAATATTTTTGCATTAGAATAATATTTAATTGAATGATAATATATATTATGCAATATGAAAATTTTTTTAATATTATAAACTTCATTAGGATCTATAATAATACTAAAATTACTTATTTTAACAAAGTCAGAATAAGTCAAATATATTATTCCATAAAAAATAATTATGATATTTCATTGACCACATCCTAATCAAATATCTTGTGGATCAAATTCTAATTAGAAATTAAAATTGAAGTAGGTAAATCAAGCTTTAAAAGATGAGTTATCTAATAAAATTTTAATTAATAGATCCAATAAGAATAAATAAATGAGTTAAAGTATAAATATATTAGATATGAGAAAGAAATCAAATCTCTTAAAGAAGAACTGGAATATCTTGAGAATACTTTGAAAGAAGAAAAAATAAAGTTAAGATTAAAGATATTATCTCTTAAAAAAACTTATATTAAGCTAAAAAGAATATTCAA